GGCCGTGCCGTTAAAGTAACCCTTTGCCGTTAAAGGTCAGACAACAATTCTGGAGACAACTCTGCTCAGAGGAGCAGAGAATTTATCAGGCAGCTATCTCATGTTTAATAATACACTTCTTAGCTGCTGTCATGGGAATGTTAGCATGTTTTTGAATACTGTCTTCAGGAGACGGATTGGAGAATGAGAGAAATGGAGAAAGTTGGCGAGATGGAAAAATGCAGTAAAACGGAACAGTAATAGTGGAATTATCTTTAAAGTACTGGAGAAATTGATGTTTTATATTCTGATCACAGTCATGTGGTTTAAAGAAGGCTAGCAAAAGCTACGGTTGTAAACCATCAAACATCAGCTTCTACTAACTGGAGATGCTGGCCTTGAGAGTGGATGTGAGCGTATTGTTTACAGAACTTCACTTTCCACCACATCAACTACATACGATTTAAATTATTTCTTACTATTTTTTTCCAGTTGCAGAGGAAGCTGTTGACAATCTTTAGGTAGGAAGAGAGGAGCTGTAAAACATCTTTAAAAGGAGTGCTGCAAGCTGAACAGTAGGAAAATCAATATTCTTAAGATACTTGCAACGCTAGTCTTAATTTACAGTGTATTGAGATTTTGCCATTGAATTATAGCCTGAGTGGAAATATTGATGAGAGTCTGTAGCCTGAGATATTCCATACATACATACATACATACATAGTGGAAAGCATTACTGAAAGACCCTGTAAACCACACAATTTTACTTAAGAAGCTAGCCCTCAGATAGATGAAATCAGCTGCAGACGGTACCTTATTAAGGAGTTAAGGGTAAAGCTTTTCATATTTTTTCATGCTTTGACTAAAAATACTAACACCATACAAATTCTTGAGGGGACAGAGCTGAGGTGGTAGCTGCAGGGTGATCAAAACCTGAGAGGGGCACGTTTTCCCTTTGAACGGGGAGGCCTCTTTCAGACTTGTCATATGATGGATTTCAAATGACAATTTAATGGACTCGCAGTTTCCCAGGCAGCCGTCTTTCTACAGCTTCACTATTAACAACAACTTAATCTTAGCCAGCTCTCTTTTTTATTTCTGAGTGCTTGATAATTCTTTTATATTATTTAACAGCAGTACAAGACAAAATATTCAGGTCAAAAGCTTTTAATGGAAGTGTTTCAAATCAAAAACCAATGTAAAGCAGTAGATTTACCAATGCAGTAAACCAATGCAGTGGATTTTGCAAAGCTGCTTACTCCACAGGTGTTTGAATTCAAATATAACAAGTGTAAGTAGCGTGTAAATAGTGTGGATGAATTTCATATGTAATCTGTATTCAGTAGAATATGAGCCATAACTTTACCTTCCAGCACTGTATGAAGAATGATAATGCCATTTTCAAGACGGATAAAACCGATGTTGTATAAAATACTTGTCAGCTATCCATGGTGTAGAGTCTCTTAATTCACTAACATTATTTGGGAAGCAAATGGATGTAAGATAGCTCTTGGGAAAAAACACATGCTGCATTAAGTACAAAAAAATTTCAGAAGGTATGAGTACATTTTTGCAGGGTGTGACTGAGGGCCATTAAGGCGGTTTTAGTTTTTTATTTAAGTAAGATTATGACCAATATTTTTATTGCAAGCCAAGTGTACCAAGTTCTTGATTCTGCTAGTTGTTCTGGGGCCATTTTGAGAATAATACAGACTGACTTTTCTTCAGGAGTCCAAAAAGGCAGAAAATTCTCCGGCAGGACTCATGCTTACCAAGCTGATGTGGGTACAGCTCTCTCTAGCCAGTAAAATCCACTCAGTGTTGTGAATAGGGAGAAATAAAAGTCTGAAACTTCACTGGCCAAGGCTCTTCATAAGGACAAGTGGTCCCAGGGGAACCGTGGTAGTCCTGTGCATTTCTTGAAAGTAAAGATTGCAATTTTGACTGGCAACAGGATGGGCTTCTTTCTCATAGATTCAGAACCTAGCTATAGACAATTGCTTTTATCCTTATCCTTTTTATGTTTTATCCAGAACTATGAAACAAAGTATTTGTGTCATGGCCTACACAGAAGGGTATACAGTAACTTGAACCTTTTAAATTCATTCATGTAGATCTAAACCCATTCTGTTTAGCTAGTAGCTTATTTTTGTTTTAAAGACAAAGAGATTGGTTCTAATGAAAAATGTTTTCTTGCATAAACTGGGGTACTAGCAATGAATAATGATTGCATTAATTTATATTTCCAGTTTGCTGCAGATTGCACCTGTTCTTGTCATGTCATTTGTTACCGCATGTACCTGGCAAATGTAGGTCGCTGGGTCCGCAGCCTCTCCAGCAGGATGACTGTATCAGTTTCCTGCTGGAAGGATTAATAAAGCCTGTGCAACTGCAATGCAGTCATATTAGTGGTAGTTAGGTTACATGCTAGTGTTGCACATCCCAATTTCTGCATGTCCTTATTTGTAAGACAAACTAATACAAGCTGAAGTCACAAGCATACTGCAAATTCTGATTGGCTTTTGCCTGAAGACTGGTAGTTGGCAGTCTCCCACTGTGTCGTTGATTTTCATTAGCAAATATCAATGATCAGGACTCCCAGCTAGCTTAGGTATGTGGTTACATCTAAGCCCTATTTACAAAACTTATCAAAAATGCAGTAAAGTCTTGCTGTGACACCATCTTCTATAAACAGGCTCACCAAGAGTTAACCAAATTCAGAAAATAAGTTAGTCAGCAGCAACCACTCCCATGATGGACGAAAAAGGCTTTGCACCTGGCAGCTTAACAAGGACACAGAGAAAGTGTCCCTGTCCCTTCATCCAACATGCTCCGTGCAGTGTTCTGCTGTGCGGGATTGTCTTTAAGCCTGGGTACCAGATTGGTCTCCAAGCAGGGTAGAAAACAGTCTGCCGATCAAGCCAGTGATCTGTCTAGTTCTGCTTGTTTTGTAGTGGCCAAAAAATAAGATGTTTCATAAGTTAGTTTAAAAATATGCAGTTGGCAAATATATAATAATCTGCTCAAGTTATGGGGCTTAACCTAATGTACATAATAAGTATATAAGGTTGAAACCTAGAATACCAGGATATTCCCTTCCAGTTACTTACAGTTACTATTTGAAAAAAAGTTATGCCCGTCCAATCCTTCCTTGAAGCGAATTCACCTACTCACCTCAGCGCCTTCCTATTGCCGTGAATCTAGTAGTCCTATGGAGACATCACGTGAGAAGTGTTCTTGTTGATTTCACAAACTGTTTCTTCATCGACTTTCCCTTATTTTTTGTTTTGGATAGGAGTAATAGATTTTTAAACCGTATTTTTATATTTCTCTACATTTCTAGCTTTACCATATTTTGTTCTTCATACAAAAGGTTTGCTTTCAGCAAAGGAGAGCTCAAAGAAGCGTGATGAAGGGATCAGTCTACTTTCTGAAACGTGGCATTAGTATTGTACTTGGAATCAGTAATTGATATAAAAGAATAATGATATTTGGAGTGTAGTTTTCCATCCCTATGCTTTTTTTATCCTAAAATAACGAGCCTTTGCATTGACATTTTGTGACCATTTGTCATCACATTGTCTTGCTGCTGTTTTTCACTGAGAGGCCTGCGGTAAAAGCAAAAAGACTGCTTCTCCTGATGAATTCAGTTAATTCAGATGTCTGGAATATGTAAGAACAGTTTAAATTTCTTCCCTAACGTGTCTTATCTTGGAATTAACGGCATTAAATCGAATTTTCCATCGTTTAGGCCGTTTATCTAGCCTTTCTAGGGTTGTTCCTTACATCTTAAATAATTATTTGTATCATATGTGTAATGCAGAGAGCATGTCAACCATGTATTGCAATTGTTATGATGGAACAAACAGTCTCTGAAGTAACTGGGTCAACCCTAAAGCTAGTTACCTTGAATTTGCATTAAAAAGTAATTGCCAAGCAATATAGAGCCTACCGCCAAGATTATGATTGCATTTCATTGTCTTGTTGTAAGTCTGCATTTAAAAACAGCTTTGTTTATATAATTAAATAGAAGATTCTCTGAATAGGCCCTTTGGGGAAGGGATCATCTCTTTCCTGTGTACTTATACAGCGTCTAACATGGTTTCGGCCTCAAGATATTACTGTATTTTAAAAGCCACATAACAGTAATGTTCCATAAAGTCATGCATATGCACATGGCAAGAGTTTCTGACTTAAGGACTTAAAATTGTAGTCACATAGTCAGATAGAGGAAGTAGAAGCAAGAGGGAACAGAGGCACTTAAATAATGAGTGACTTGCCTGTGATTACAAAGGGGATGCACTGCCCAACTGCATTTTGAATCCAGTTGTTATATTTCCCTATCTGGTGTCTGATTTGCAAAGTCACTTATCCTACTGGCATTTTCGGCTAGCTTGTCATTCCAAACAGGCCTGCAAGTCTGGACTTTGCAGGTGTTCTGTCAAAAAGAAAAGTGCTCTGAAAAGGAAACAGTAGCCAGGTGGCTTTGTGAAGATTAGCCAGAATATTTTCCAATCCAGGATATTCATGGGTTCGATAAACTGATTATGCAGTGCTTCTCTGTAGTATAATGCAGTGATTTGCTGTATCTGCTTTGGTATTTTACTGTATCTCTATACTGCAATAACTAAACCACCAAGTAAAGAGTCACTTCAGTGGGGAATTTGAGAAAACCACTTCCTTGGAATCCAGGCGTATTCAGTGCGCTCATCTGGCTGGCTGAGAGCACCATCCAGCATCCTGGGAGAAGCTGCTGAAAGAGCATCCAGTGTATCTTTGATTTTTCTTTCTTTTCTTGCAGCGTAAACATAACCACTGTTCAGCCAAAGTTTCTGAGCTTGCGTTTTTTGCACAGCTGTTGCTATAACTGCGTTGGTTTTTAACAGTCACACAACTTTTCCCCCTGAAATCGGAGACCACAGAACAGTATAACACACACATGTGAATCTGATTGAACACCAGTATGCAAAGATGATTCCTTCTGATCATAGTCCTTATGTTTCTGTCCTCATCCTCAACAGCACTGCGGAGTCGATCAGGACGGTCCATCATCAATGGAAACTGGGCAATTGATCGTCCTGGGAGATACGAAGGTGGTGGGACGTTGTTCACATATAAACGCCCAAATGAAATCTCCAGCACTGCAGGAGAGTCATTTTTAGCTGATGGCCCAACAAATGAAGTCCTTGATGTCTATGTAAGTTTCTTGTATTCCGATTTAGCTTCCTGATGGAAAATACTTGTTCCAGTTCTTGTTAATGTGCAACACTGTAATTGCATTCAGCAGCGACACATTAATGTTTTGTTCTTTTAATCTTAAAATAGAATTTTTCATATTTTCCTACTACTTTTTGCTACGGCCCAGCTTCCTCTAGATTGTATAAAGTCTAAATAGCAAGAGATGCCTTTTGCTCTCGGACTTTATAGACCCACTAAAACCAATTTGTTCAATAAAATCAGAGGTAGAACATGCTGTTGTCTATATTTTTTGTGAAATGAATTTTCTACTCAAGCAAATTTAGCACAGTTTAATTTTACAGTCTACTGAAGCAACTACCTAAATCAAACAAAACCTTTCACAGAGTGATGCCATCTTAGTTCTTTTTAAAAGAAATACAAGTCAAAAAAACAATAGAATGTGTGAGATGAAGTAGAGGGTGGTTTTAATAGGAAGCTGTGCTAGCAAATCATAGAAAAGAGCCATTTGAGAAAGGAAGAGCCAAAAAAAAAAAACAAAACTGGCTAGGAGAGGGGAATTCTGGCCGCATAAAAGATAGTGAAATAGTGAAAAAGTTATTTACTTAGTTGGAACAGGTTTTTACTGCATCATCCTGAACTCTGAGTATAACTGGGACTGATTATGACTTGTTATAAGATAAATGGTGTGTTCGGAGGTTATGCACTTCCACATGCTAAAATGTATTGGTCGAAAAAGCTAGATTGAATGGTGATACTGGTGGTTTGATCCGGCCAGTTTTGTTGCCCATAATTGCAAGAGGTGGTAGAAAAGTGAATACACTGTGTTGTTTCATAGAAAAACAAGCAGTAACTACCCTGATTCCTCAGCTGGGAAAAGTTAGATGTTGGCAAAGTTATTCCCCATTTGCTGCTGTATGATGTCTTATTAAAGCAATGTGAAAATCGCACAAACGTTATTTCTATTTGAAAAATTTCTGATTGACTGCAGTGTGAGACTGGCAGAAGCCTGGAAGACTAGGTAATAGGGTTCCTAGACTCCGCACTGCAAACTCCATATTTTTTAAAGTTTATCTTGTGTGCCCTTATGTAAAATTATATGATGGTGCGAGCTGAGGTGTTTTTATTGTCAACATATTGATGCCTAATGCATGATGACTGCATTACCCAGAGAGAAGATCAGGAGGTGAATAAAACAGGTATTTCCAAATAAGTATTGTAAAACAAACAAACAAAAAAAACCTTGAGAAGCTGAGGTTGATCATATTGTAATGTATCTAGGTTTTTTTTACTATTATACTGGTTTATTTAGGCATAGTCTTTTTTTCACCCTTTTTTTTCATCCTTTTGCAATGAATACAGCAAAGCTGGTGTGATGTGCATAGTTTCAGCAATTGCTCTTGAGCTGCTCCTGTGGATTGCCACTTAAAATTTGACTGCACTCTTATCTGAGATGTTTCTTGTTAGATGTGAGGAATACTAGAATTCCAGTTAAGCTGACAGCTCAGCATCTCTTTCAGAACAGTGTGGGAAGATGAAAAATGGAGAGTGCTAGATGAAACGACAGTCAAGCTGTATGACACAACCTTTCCCATACGGGTTTGGACTTTCTGGCTGCACTGATACAAACCCCTTTTTTCTGTGTTTGTCTCACAGTTCCTGAATAGTGTAGCTCTCTTTGATCCATACTCTCCATGGAAAAATGAAGAGTTTTGCTGTTAACTCCAAATGGCTTTCTGTCTTTTTTTTCCTCAGATCATGCCGTCTTTCTTTCACTCTCAAAAAAAAGGGGGGGGCGTCGTGGGGAAGCTCTCTAAGTTATAACAGGTTTTAATTAGCAAGGTACAAGAGAAACAAGCATTTCATAAATCTGCAGTACACATTGCTACAAAGACTTAGGTCCACTAACTCAAACCAAAAGTATTATTTAATTCCATAGTATGTACAGGAAAGCTATGACAATATATTCGTAGAGACTTCATCAGTTACGCTCTCTATAATGTGTCTGTAAGTTGTTTTGGGAAACATGATGGAAAAACCATGGAAACCGTTGGAAAACTCTTCCTGGCACCACCCCGAGGGACGGGGCCTGATTCTGCAAGGTGTGGAGTTCTCTGGGCTTTCCCGGGAGCCCACGCGACTTCGCAGTGCTCAGCTCTCGGGGCCAAACACAAAGTGTGAGGGTATTTCAGAATAACAAAGTGACATGGGAAGTGCCGGCCCTTACAGAAAGTATAGCAGGCAATGCGTTATCGGATGGTTCGGAAAAGTAAATGATCCGCATGGAACAGAGTTGAACAATTGTTATATTTGACAAGGAAAAAGTGATTCTGAGACATGGGAATAACGAAAGGCCAAATCCTTAGTTGGTGTTAATTGGTGTAACAAATATAGTGAAACCTCGAGCGCAAGCATGCTTTGCTAGATCATATACCCAGTGGCATAGCGTGACGTTTCCATTTTGGCCAGTGCTTTGACAGAACCAGAGGACCAGTGCGAGCTCTGGTATTTGTTGAAAAAAAAAAAGAAAAAGGTTTTTGAAATGAGACTGTAATCTGAGGCTTCTACCAGACCAATCTGCACAGCGGGTTAGCCCTTTTAAAGCAGTGGTGTCAGTAGAGGCAGTACTCGAGAAATCAAAGCTGAACTAATGGAATTAGCAGCTGATAGTATCCCTATATTTATAATGTAAGTGTTCTCAGTCCCTCAGCAGCAGCATAATACAAGCCAGCTGGGTGCAGGGCGTGCTGCTAACCGTTTTAAAAAGCTTTTGTCAAGTTACATCTTGCCCAGACCTTATTATGCAATTCTACGTAAGTGAGCACACAAGAAGCTGCACTGAACTTTAGGGGCATACTCATGTCCGTTTACATGTGGGTGGTGCAGCAGGGTTTTAAAACCACTCAACTTGATTTTCATGTATATAAAGGAGAGGAATGTAAAGTTCCTACTCATGTTTCATCAGGAGGGCTTGAAAAAAGAATTGTTGTGGCTAGCTGTAAAGCAGTGGGAATCTGTCTGCATGTACATTAAATCTTAATTCAGTTGAAAATCCATTTGGAAGGTTGCAGGAGGGTTGCATGGGCGTTCTCCAGTTGCTGGAGCGAGTATGGGGGTCTTTGTGATCTGTTGACTTGATCATTACTGAACAGTGGTTATGGTGAGAGCTACATAAATTAACAGTAGTTTTTGCTAGCTGATTATTAAGTCTTCACTGAGTTGTGTATAGGTAATTACTCGGTGATACAAGGAACCATTTGATTTATGAGGTGGTACCAGTGAATTAACACATATGTGCTCTCTGCCCATGCCCCATTCAAGCGCAGAGTTAGCTAGATTTGTAGTATGGGGTCTGAGGTATTTATTTTCCACTGCTTGCTTTCTTCCTTGCTCATCTTTCCTCTGGCATCTGTCAAGCTCCTTGTATCCGAGAATTATTTTGGTGGTCTTGAAACGTGTCCGTTGCTCCCCTCTTGGCTGAGTGAACCTCTTTTGCCACCTAGTGGCAAAAGGTGAAGTTCTTGTCGGTTACATACACACGTTTTGCACCTGTACCAAGTAGGCCCAGAGAGATATATCTTTTTTTTTTTAGCAGCAGGTTTAGAGAAGCAGGTTTTCTGCCATCACAGCCGAGTTCGATTTGCAAACATTGTAACCTGATTTTTTTTTCCAGAAACCAATAGTCTTTTTGCATTTTTGGAGGCAATCATTAAGCAAAATTTCTATCTATCTTTTCCAATGATAAATATTGTTATGCAGTTGATTAGTTCAAGCAGTATGTTTTTAAGCACTAGTAATATAACAAACAGAAGCAGTGAATAAATGGCTGTTTTTCTTTTTAGATGATACATCAGCAGCCTAACCCAGGTATACATTATGAGTATATCATTCCAGGAGACAATGTCATTAGTCCTCAGTTGCTTGCTCACAGGAGGCCAGGTAAAATGCCGCTATTTCATATTATTAAGCACATTCTGTTACCTAATAAGTTAATGGAGAAATTCATTCCATTAAGCTCAGTGTTTATATGCTGCCATTGATTTGGGAGAGGCACAGAGTTTCACCCTACTTGTTCAAAGAGAAGTCTGCTTAGATCTGGTAAGCGAACTTCAGCGAACTTATCCCGGCCTGTGTAGCAGCGAATGCGGTCACATATTTCCAATTTCAGTAGTCATTTTTTGGTTAAAATGTTACCTCTAGCTTTTGCTTGAGCTGGTGTGTTGTATCCATATCTCAGAAGTGAAATAGTGTTTTTCTCTTCATATTTTGAGATACTTTAGAACAACCGCTCTCAGTTTCTCTTGTCCTCTTGAGAGGATCAAACACAAAATCGTTACCTTCTCAAGCTGGAGTCGGGGCCGATGGTGCTCCTAGTTCTGTGCCGCGGAAATGTGCTGCGTGTGCTAGTGTGAGGTTCTGAAGGAAAGCAGAAAATTGCTGCGTGAGTTTGGTCCTACTTTTAATGTTCGTGACTTGCCTTGACAAATTTGAGTGTATTTGCACTCAAATTTGTTTTGTAATGAGGAACAGCTGTACTGTGACATGGCAGGCACAGACTACAGAGCATGGTGCAAAGACAAGCTTTGGGAAATTTTGACACTGGGTGCAGCTGCTACAGTGTGGTTGGAGGCTGTTCAGTTTTTAATGTATTTGCTGCCTGAGACTTAGTTGTCTTAATCTAAAACAACACAGTCTTCATGGAACAATACTAGGAAGTCTGTGTAGAGCAGATTAAAGCTGCTTAAGATTAAAGTTTAATGATGCTCCAGTGTTGTGACTGTTAGTGGTTGAAAACGTAGACCGATATTTGCAAGCGAGGCGCATTATTTTAATTTTTTGTTATTATCCGTCATCAGGGGAGCCCTTGAATGGTCAGTTAGAAATTCCAGAAAGTACAAATCATGAGGATGAGGATTTGCATAGGGAGACAGACACTCTCACTGGACAGTCAGCTGGAAGTTTTCCAGTTATTCAGCCAGGAAGATTTTCTTCTCATCAGCCAGAAAACCAGGTGCCTGCTGTGCAGCCACCAAGACAAAACCGAGAACACAACTGGAAACAGATTGGAAAAACTGAGTGCACCACTACATGTGGGAAAGGTAAGTGTTTCATTCAGCATGCCCAGAAAACAGATGACATGGGAGGTTTTCAGCCTGGGAGAGGAGAAGCATGGAGGGAGGAAGCACTGTGGATACTCAAGCACCTCTTATATGTGCTGAGCATAGCTGGACCCAGTGTTTTCTGCTACTTTACAAGGAAAAGACGCATCTGTAGTATAAAGTGTGCTATCAACAGAAACAACAAAAATAAAAATAGGAAGTGCAAAGTGTTGTAAATTAAAAGGGAATGTATGGCATCTGCTTCTGAAAGGCAGTATTTAAGGATTTTGTGGCAAGTTGCTCTCTCTCACACCCCTGACACGCAGCTGCTTTTCTCCATACTCTTTGATACTCTTTATCCTTTCTGTGAGCCTCTCAGCTCTGTCAGGTGCTTTCTGTATCTCTGTCAACTGTTTTCTGATCTTTACAGGAGCGTGTCACAGGGATTTCACCAGACGTATCCTTGCTTAGTTGAATGTTGTTATGTCAGAAATAATGTGGCTTTAGAAAACTGAGATTTTCATAGGAGTAGTGGGAAGGGAGAGGAGATGGAAAGAGACTGCTAATTAGTGACGTTTTGGGAGGTGATGCATACGCCATTTTACGCTTTCCAGCTAAATCTTTGCCATAAGACTTTCACAGAGATCACAGAGTCAATAAAGCATGACACTAGCAATTATTTGGAAGAAGACGTTTTTGTAGCCATAAGAGTGAAGTCCTTAGTATCGCATGTAGCCACTAAGCCTGAAAAATCACATAGCTAAGAAGAGAGCGAGCTCTCAGTGAAGGAACTCATCTGAGAAGATTGTCACCAGATCTGCGCTGACAACATCTGCTTCTCAATTAATCTCATTCTGCAATGAGAGGACGCTTCGCAAATTTGGTCCAAAACCAGACAAATATCCATATTACAGCTACAAATAGGGTTAAGACAAAAACAGCAGTATTGATTCTAGTCAAAATTGCTTCCCAGTTGCATACGCTTTTATAAAAATGGTAGAGATATTCTTTGGGAAAAATGCAGTCATTCTTTTGCAGCAGAAAGTCTGCCTCTCTGCATGAAAGTAAAGTGTTCCTGAAGTGAGACAAATGCAGTTAACTGTATCTTCGCAATGTATTTTTGAGAACACAGCAATTAGAGTTTTTGCTGGTGCAGGGAACAGGTTTAATTTTCTTTAAATATATCTTTTTGTTCTCAGGAATAAAACTGAGCTACAGCAAGAAGGTTAAAGTATATGTAGTATTCTGATCTGCATCTGTTTCCTTTTTTTTTTTCTTTTTTGTCCTGGGCCATATATTGGGAAATCTGTCTTGCTTGAAGAATTTACTGCAAAAGTGTTGCAGTACTACGCTACAGCCGATAAAAGTCAGATGACACTTGGGAGTCAGCCTTTTGGTGGAGAAAAGGAGAGAATGTAAACCAGAATTATTGTGATTGATACTTAGAGGTGACTTTGATACAAGTCATATGGGCAGGCTCCTTAGCTGTACCTGGTCATTGTTTAGCAACAACCAGTGAGCATCGCCAGCTGAGATTCTGGGTTATCATATATGTGGTGAATTTGCGTATTCAAGTTATGATGCAGCTGCAGGAACACATCAGGGTGAGCGTATTTTTCCTTGGCTTCAGAGAGGGACTGCTAAAAGTGTGGAAGTCTTGGTTGTGATTCCTCTAGACTTTATTGGCGTTTGGACGGTGTTTTTGCCATGTCTTCAGAGATCTGGTAGCCATTGGCACTAGTATTAGTGAAACCTGAGTCAAAAAGATAATAGAAAAAATTGTAGAAACATAGGATTCACAGGATAGCTTTCAGCCTTCTATGCTGCTTCAGTTTCTTCCGTGACATGAAACAGGACTGCCAAAAAAAGTATCTCCTTTCCCTTGACTTGGAGAATGTGTGCTTTTTCAGATGAAGCTGTAAACGAAACTGGACCTTGAGAGGGGGATCTTGACGCTCTTATGATTGTATGACCCTTCCTTATGGTCTTGACCTGGGAAGCCTTACCGAATCTCTGGTGCCCCTAAGGCATTTTGAATCAAAACAGTTATATAGGCTGATAAAAATGGAGTGAAAAAATCACACCAAAAAGTTTCTGCTATTTTAAAACATTGTCCTCATTTTATATGATTCAATATAGAGTACTTTCTTCTTTTTTCAGTCTTTCTTCTTTTTCCTTTCTTACTTCTTTTTTCCAAGTTTACTTTTTTCCCCCTACTTTTTATTCCTTCATGCAAAAATGTAGATGATGCGTGGTTTTTAAATTTATTCTTTGTTTTTTTTCAAAGTGAACTTTTCAGTGTTTAAATAGCCTTGGGAAATTTTAAATTTGGGAAAAGAAAAAGTTTTCTGTGCTACCAAAGGAAAAAGGGACAGTCAATTGACAGTTTTGATGAAAAGCGGGAAGATTTCAAAGCACTTTTCAATACAAGCTTTGGCTTAGTAAAAAACACTATTATCATAAATAAATAAAAATGCTTCACATGAGAACCGCCACCAACCCTTGTCCCAGATTTCCATTTAAGATGACAAAGACAGTGGAGGTCCTTGAATTTGGACAGTATGGGCACTGCTACTGTACTCTGGCAGGAAAATGAAGGCATCTTCAGCATGTTGTCCCTCTCTGTCTCGTGGAGAGAGCACGGGCTGGCGCCCTGCAGATTCCTGCTACCCTGGAGCTGCAGGAACTTTGTCCCCGTTCTGCCCAAAAGATCTGCCGGGAGGAGCTTCCTCACTTCATCCTCTCTGAGCGCAGCCTGTGCCTTAAAACAGTTATCTGAGCCTTTGAAATGGCTTTGGATGTGTGGTTTATGATCAGTGATGCCATGGCAGTGTATCCTTGTTAAAAAAAAAAAAACATCAGAAGAACGCTAAAGAGTGCAAGCTGCCTATTCCTAAGATATTTTCCTTAGATTTCAGAGACTAAAAGAGCTTTTTCTGCAGCATGAATGTAAGTTAGCTGGTGAGATACAAGGCCTTTCTTGATAAAATTCTTGAGCAAATATTATTTCTGTGGAAATTTTAGTTTTCTAGACTGAAATTGCAGTGTGTCAGCCAACAATTACTATCAACCAGAACCATCCTTAATTTATTTAAAACGGTAGATATGATGTAAAATTACTACAGAACTTCAGTGCAATAGTATTTTGAATACATGGCTGAGTGTATTGGTCTCGCTACTTCCTGTTTCTTGCTCACAGACGCGTTACTTGTAGCTTACGTGACAAAGGAAATTGGTTTCTGTAAACCCAGGATGAGATGTTTCAATTGTTAATTTCAAAATATGTCAACAAAACTGAAAAATTTAAGTACTAAGCTTCGCCATTAAAACTATAAAGATCTTGAGCTCCGGGAGGTAAGCATGTGCAGCTGGTTAACAGCGGGGGTTAGACTTAGACTGCGAGTTCAAGTGGATAATTAGAGCTAGAAAGCTGGAGAAAACTGAACGTCCAGCCTGTGGCCTAAGATAGCATGTCAGCAATCTCATGAAGGAGTAGCACAGTCAGTGCAGGCTTTGGTAAACCCACGTTTGAGGTATGTGAGCTTTTAACTCTTATAACCTAACCCTTTTCGACACTCTTTTTTGACACAAATACCAATAAGAGAAAAGATGCCACTGAATATTCTCTGCAGATTACTTCTCTCTCTGAATGCAGGAATGTAACAACTTTTGCCTCGTACTTAGAGGTGTGCCATTAGGCCTTTGTAAATGTGTAGACATATATTTTTGGTCTAAGGAACAGAGAAATACATTTTGTAGAAAGATGAAGTTTTTGCACTGTTAATTTGTGCCCTGTTTTCTCCTATCTTGCCAGTAACACGGAAAATACACTTTGCTGAAAGGCTCTAATCCTAGAGACGCTGTTGTATGCAGTGCATTAATGAGATACAGTGGTAGCTTTCCTAGTTAAGCATAGATGTTTTGGAAAAGAGCAGAGTGAGTGCAGTATGAGTCCTGTTTAAAAGTGCTTGCTTAAACCATCTGAATTTTGCCTTGTAACTACTTCTATTTCTGATTGCAAATACTGAGCATTAGACATTTCTGACTGTCCTCAGGTTGTGCACTACACTTCCTCAAATTCTGAAGTATATTAATATCAGTCAGTCAGTATAGTTTTAGTTTAGAAACAAAGCTTTTACTCGGAACAAGTGCAGATCATGCATGCATTTCAAGGCAAAATGACAAACACGAAATCTGGGAAGGAGAGCTAGTAAAAGGAGGAAAGCACTCCAGGAAACGTTTGTGGGAAGAAGTGTAAACTGTGTCTCCTTCTTTGTCTCCTTAAATAGCATTCCATTCCTGTTTACTGCATTCTGTGGTATAAACTTAAAAGCTAAGCAAAATGTTTCTCTTTCAGTCCAGAGTTTATTTTCCTGTTTGTGGAGTTTTTCCCTGCCCACTTGTGAATGTCTGCCCTGTGAAGGCATCAACACCAAAAAATTATTAGCCATTTGGAGTTTATTGTTGTAGGACACACGTCCTAAAAACAACTGAAGTAGCCTAATTTTCATAAGGCAGTGGGTATAACTTCAGGTGATTGAACTGACAGTTGTAGATTGTACCTTGAACACTTCTGCTTAGTTGAGCCACTTTTAACCAAGTGGAGGGAGGTACCTCCTATTACCATGGAGGTGCCTTCGTGTTTCAAGTGCCATTGCTGTGCCAATGCAGCAGGAGGGGTTCCTCTTGCTTTACGTGATCAACAGAACTTGGTACTACCTTCTAAAAAGAATTAAAACAAATTATCTGTGGGCAAAGTTTGGAAAACTTTGCAGAAATGAGAAAGTGATTATGTGTATTTGGAGGAGTTATAAAAATATTTTTCAACCTAATAAATAGAACTTTAGGAGTTGTGCTCCTGTTTGAATAAGTAAAAACTGACTCTTTGAGTAGACACCTTAGCGCTTGCTCTTTGTCATCATTCTGGTAATTGATTTTCAGCAGTAGTGAAGGTAAAGTTCTGTCTTTCTGCCCTAGTGCGAAAACTATATAAAGACTGAGCATTAAATGTGGAGAGCAGCAATCATTAGCAACTCTCCAGTAATGCTTAACCTGTAAGCTTCATCTTACAAAGCTTCTCAAAACCCGGGTGAAGTGTCTAATATTCTTGTATCTTCACTCATGACATGACAGCTCCAAGGTAATGAGGCTAAATCTCTTTCCAGAAGCACAGCAGGAGCCTGCATGAGAAGGCTGGATGACTAATTTTTCATACTCTCAATCCTGTGTTCTGGTCACTTGGCTGCATTTTTTGAATTGCCTGAAGACTTCTTATTTGTAGTCTCTGCACTGTGAAGATTTCATGCAGGCGAAGTAGTATGTTTTCTTAGCCTTTCCTGCAATGCCATGATGTACTTTCTATATACTAAGCACTTCCCTTAATATTATAATGTAAACAGTGTAGCATTCAGCTTTCACGTATGTTGGGATATTTTGGATAAAATCTTAGTCTACATTTCCTGTTGTTATGCTTTACTTTTCCTTTCTGCATTAGTGTTGGATCCTATTGCTATGAAAGGTTTATATTGCAGGATCTTCTGCAGTGCATTACCTAATTTTTGTTTTGTCATTTCAGGGTCACAGTACCCAGTTTTCCACTGTGTCAACAGAATCACTCATGAGGAGGTTCCTGAGGGTTACTGTGACAGCAGCACCAAGCCTATTCCAGAAGAGGAGGCCTGCAACCTCTTCCCATGTCCAGCTTTGTAAGACGTTATGATTTAAGTTGAATGAAATAAAGAAGTTGATGTCATTGAAGTTTTGCACACGAAAGAGGCTATTTTAAGTAGGAAACTAGTTATTTTAAGTAGGAAACCAGTGTGAACCACTTAAGTACTTTGCACTTGTTTCATGAAGTGCAGCGGATATTCTCCCTTAACTGTTGGTGGCCTTCTTCCCTTCACAGGTAGTAATAGCATTCAGAGAATGCGAAAGGGAAGTTGGCAACAACTGAGTTCAGTAGTTTCTCAGAGTTTGTGTGACTGTTCACGCGCACAGCATACCTGTGCTCTCTCTACGGGAATATTTTTTTCCAAGAGACAGGCTTCTGCATGTGCCTGTCCGAAGAAGGACCTCTGTAGGGTATCTCACTGCAGACTGGATCAGTGTGCTACAGTCCCCACCTATTCATTGCATAGTGTCATCGTTAAAGATGAGATTGGCCTGGTGGCGCTCACAACAACTGTTCCCCTCTCTTTGCTGGGAGCTGGTAGTTCTTCATCTCCAAGGCTGGATTCTACAGTGATAGCCCTCATTTCCAGCGCTCCTAATATCCCACAGGCTCAGGTATGATTTTCTTCTTGGAAGACACTTCCATGAGGAGACTGTGGCTTGGAACAGCTAAACAGCTACAGCTGTGACTAAGAAGCTTTGAAATAGAAGAAAACGTCAGTTCACCCACGCGGTGTATCAAGAAGAGAAAAGTATTAAACCTAGTAGCCATTATAGAGAACCTTTCCGTGAGGTCAGCAGCTGTATTTTCCATCTCTCTTGTAGTTACGTTCTTCAGTGCTTCTCCTCGGAGCAGTTACTGGCCACTCTTTACCCTGCGGAAACTGTTAATGGTGCAGTGCTGTTTGGGTGTTAGAGCTGCCTGACAAGGAGTTTCGTATGGGTAGTCCGACTGTTAGATATTCAGAGGAACTCCTGAAGCGCTTTCCATGGAGATGTCTTCTATCACGAAACACTTTCCCCAGCTTTTTCTTTCTAACAACTCATATTAATTCAGCTTCATTTATTCACACCGGATTATATCAAGAATGTAAACAGAGAAATAAAATAAAGCATGTGAACAGTTCAAATACTTCCCTTATTTGTAAATGCATGCATGCTTGAAACTAAAACTGAAAGGCGAAAATGTGTGTTGGTACAAAAGGGATTAAATAAATACAATAAAATATTTATTGAAATGAGAAGAATATATTTAGGCATTTTTTCATCTCTAAAATTAAGTGCATTCATTCATTGCTCAGCCTTTGCCATTTCAACTTTAGTGGAGAATTACTGCCTGTAGACATTAGGAGATTTTTGTGCTGTTGCCTTTCTGAGCCTTTCTAGAGCCTTTGCTGAATTGTGTTCAGAAAAAGTCTGTAAACTTTATGCAACACAGATCTTAAATTTTTGGGATGTGCCGTTAGGGTAAAAAAATACAGATCCTTAAACTGCACATAGCAACTTTAGTGGGATTAGTTAATGTACTTATTAATTAAAGTAGTATTACTCAATTTTGCACTATCAATAAATATTAATAATAAATAATTCAGTTGGTTGATATATTAAAATCAGTGCATAGTTAATCATATATTAATGAATGCCTTGTGAAGCTATTGGGCAATCTGTATGCATACTGATCAGTATTAACCGCTACAAGTTGGCTGGTTGTAAATATGTAACGGTCTCTTCATAAAGGATTATGTTAAGCATGCAGAGGTTTAAGTCTTATTTTAAGATTCTCTCCCCCCTTCAGCATCATGTCATTAGAACTGGGGTCAGATTAGTATTAGAGGAATCTTTGCAAAATGAATTGCCTTCTTTTTTTCTTCTCTCCGCTAGCTGGGACATAGGGGAGTGGTCTGAGTGCAGCAAAACATGTGGTCTTGGTATGCAGCATCGGCAAATCTTGTGTCGGCAAATGTATGCTAATCGTACCTTGACAGTTCAGCAGTACCGCTGCCATCACCTGGAGAAGCCAGAGACAACCAGCACTTGCCAGCTGAAGATCTGCAGTGAATGGCAGATTCGGACAGAGTGGACTTCAGTAAGTGTGACTGACTAATTTGGGGTTTAAAACCTCAGAAGAGAACAGGAATGTTTTCTCAGGTGTTGCTAATCAAACGTGAAATTGGTTTTGTTTAAAACAAAGAAATGGAATGTGGAAGGACCTGAAAACAGGTGAATCTTGGTTTAAAAAACCTGCATGATTATGACCAGTAAAATTTACTATTTCTAACCAGAAAGAAACGGAAAAAGAACAATTGTGTGGAACAAAACGGGTATATGTACAGAGGCGTACAAGCTTCCTTACAAATGTTTGTTTTGTAAATTCTACGTGAAATAGAGTTGGGAGGAAGCTGACAGGTTTGCCTGTGGCGCCAGACTTGCTGTTATTTTCCTTAGCATGTAGCGTTTAGTTGCAGGACTTCAGTTTAACTTTACATATGTGTTCCTAGGGAGTCAGTACTTGCTGTCACTGTATCTGATTTGAGGCCATGCCGGAACTTTCGGATAGCACGGATGGTACAGAGCTTAGGTTTAATTTGTGTGCTGCTTACAGAAGGTTTAGCCAACAAGACAACCATCCTAGATACTGTTACGGCCTTTGTGTAGAGAGAGAGAATACGTTGGTGCGTTAGGTGTAGCGATATATAGGCCTCTTGCAGTTAGCCATGAAACAAAGAAAAAATTTAATAGAATTGCTGAGCTGTGTGGGTGGATAGGCCATGAAAAATCCAGCTTAACACTGGACCTAACCCTTCACCTTCCTTCCTGCTGCAGTGCATCCTTGCTCCCGATTCCCCCAGCCAGTGGCCGTGCCGGCACGCGCTGCAGCGCAGACCCCGTCGGCCGTGGGCTGGCTGCGCTGGCCGGAGCAGAGCAGCCTCCCGTGCGCGCGCTTCCGGTGGGGGTCGCTGGTGACCTACCTCTCTCCGTTCCTCCCTTTCTGGGAGGGCACCGTTAGCTTTTATTCATGAAATATCGATGATGTGTCGATATATTCCTGGAATGAACACCACAGATATACCTAAACAAACAAATAGAAAGCTATGTTAGCGATTAATCTATTATTCAGAATGCTTGTAAAAATCCGTCTGGGGTTCAAGGACACTAGATCTACCTATTAAAGGTAAAATTTAGATTATTTTATGGTTGCTGATGAGGAAGAGTAGCTGGTTCTGTGAGTCGCTACATTTTGAGCAGTATTTCAGCATGCAGAGCTTTACTGCATACTGTGAAGCAAGCTAAACAAATATGTTATAGAAATTGTAACTGGTGGAATATAACAGTAATCCCAGTGAAATTGTGTGATTTCTCTTGGAAGTAAAATTAAAGCTTTTGGCATAAGGAAGACCCACTATTAGGGAAAAAGCAGTTAAGTTTGGAAACTGTGATTCTAGTAGAACATTGATTTTTGTTAGCCTACTGAAGCTGAAATTAGGTTTTCACTTTGGAGACAGCTCTGTGATCTTAAAAGTGAACCCATCCTAAGATTTCAGTGTGCTGACCATTTTTTCCTGACAAACAAATGTCAAAAACTGTGATCTAAAACTAATTAGAAAAGATGGCACTGTGACAATTTTAAGCTCACAGGCAGCAGACTAAACTCTGAGAGCTTTAATTTTATGCTTAGCTGAGTAGCCCTGGACAAGTCACCCTTCTTATGGCATAGTCAAAATAATGATAATTTCCTTTGTAACACAGATTAAATTCTCCTGATGATAAACACAGCAGAAGAATGGAATATTTATTTTTATAAGTCTTACTATTTCATCACTTAATGACTTCACATATCTGATCTAGGTTTTGGCAAATGTTCTGGAGTGAACAGGTGAAGAAATAGCTGCAGTACAAAGATGAGGTCCGTAAGGCATCTTGCCATAGGGAATACATTAGGCCTGGCAATTGTCTGTGATAAATAACTTTACCTGTAAATATAGTATATGTGTTTAAGCATTCACAACTAAGGAAGCAACAGAATGAGGCTGCCTCGGCATTGTCAAGTAGGTATCTTTGTGTACAGATATTAAGATCTATAACTCTCCCAATTACCAGTGATGTTTCCACAGTAATTCTAGAGAGTTTACAGGGCGCATTAGAACATTTGAGGTATGTACAGAGCAGGATATTTTTGCTTGATGATTTGGACACCTCACATCATCAGGCAGAGACAATACTAGCTGCCCGTGTTCCCTGAGGTTGGACAAAATTAGAGCAGGAAAAGAAGGCCTTTCCTTTTAACAGGGGTTAAAAGTGGTGTTTCTTTGCATTTCTCTTGCTTTTGCACAATTACGCAGAATATGACAGCCGGCTCTCCAGATTCCAGCAGTTCGTTTAGCATGGCCATTGAGAGGAAGGTAGCATTTGAGATTTTATTTTCCAAGTTTATCTACACAGTATACTGTGGAATATGCTCCAGGCTGAGGATGTGACTGTAAAACTACTCAGCTGTTTCTAGAGTAGTTCCACAGCTCCTGTGCATGTCTGAATAGGAATAGTGAGCAGAATGTTCCCAGCTCCAGGAGAAAAGCAGGCCAGTTCTTGCACAGAGTCCTGACGCAACCTCCATTTTGTTACAGTGTTCAGTACCGTGTGGAGTGGGGCAGAGGACTCGAGACGTGAAATGCGTCAGCAACCTCGGAGACGTTGTTGATGACGAGGAATGTAACATGAAGCTACGGCCAAACGACATTGAGAACTGCGACATGGGTCCCTGTGCTAAGAGCTGGTTCCTTACAGACTGGAGTGACAGGGTAAGACTTTCTGTTATCTTTGCTGCTGCCAAACAGCCTAGGCGCATCAGAAATAAAAATATACATATGTACGGTCATAAAAGCAGTGGTCTTATTTTCTATAATTATACTTGATCTGTAAAACAGGCAAGTGCAAACAAAAAAATAACGATCCAAAAGGCATCCTGAGTTTGTGTTAGAGTCAAGAATCCACAGAAAGGGCAGGAGCCTGGGTGCGTGGCCAAACATCTGGATTTAAAACTGGATCTGAATCTCGACTTCCCAAAAGACTGGGTGTGTTGAGATTTATTATTCTGCCTTGCTTAGCTCAGAGTCTCAAGATTCAGATTTTAAAAGTTTCCCTACTGCTTTTTTGAAAGGATAGAGGTTTGAGGTCTGATGTCTAGGTTTACACTTAATCCGTAAAACAATGATCTTTCAGCTGCAAGAAAAGGGGAACGCTCCACAAACTCAGGCAAAGTTGATTCAGGCTTTCTGTGCGTTGTGAAGATGGATATTTTTTTTTATTCTGAGGAGTCAGATTCTCAGCATGAAAGCAATAGAAAGGGTGGTGATTTATCTTGTTTCATGATTGGGCTCAAAGAAGTTCTTTAATAGATACGTGTATGCTTTCATTAACAGACTTACAAACATGGCTGAGACATGCCTGGTATTTTTGGTCCCTCTTGCGGACCAGATCACATTTCATCTACAGGCAAGTTAAGCCTTCAGTCTCTATAAAATCCTGATCTAACTCCCCTTTTTTTTTTGGATTAGTTGTTATGGTAGGCGAATAGTCTCGTTCATCAGCTGAAATTGTAAGACTTCATAACTTTACAGATTTATTATTGAGAGCATTTTTGATAGTATCTCTGAAAACTAAGAAGGTCTGTCATGAAGGTGATGCCCCAGCAAAAGTTTTTCGAGGTGTTTTAGATGAGAGGAGGATGAGTTGCACAAATAGGACAGGTACCTGGTTTGTCTCACAATTTTAAAAAAGGTGCTCAGTGTTTTCCTACAGTTAGAGGGCTGCAAAACTTCCAGCCTTCAGAGAACTCAAATAACTTTTATTAAAACAAATCTTCACACAGTAATAGATTATTGTATTTGTTATTTGAACTTTTTTGGGGGTTGTTATTCTTGTATAGCATGGCCAAAAGTTACCAGCTAAAGAATAGGCGTAGTGCAAATGACAGTGCTCTAGTTCTTGCCCTAGTGCAAATGACTATGCCTTTTCCTTTTTTTTTTTTTTTTCTTTTTTAGCTTGTAGAGACAGATTCTTTGTAGAGTGCTTTTAAAGTGGTCTTTTACAAGGAGAGAAAAAAAAGCATTCTAAAAGGTAGTGAAATTAAAAATAATCTTTCTCAGAAGAGCTTTTCAGCGACTGTCAGCTGGTGCAGTTCCACCAAATAAGGGGCACATATGTTGTAGAGAAGACTCTAGTATCAATTTTTTTTTCATTCATCAGTATTTTGTCCTATGCAGAACTAAAAGTACAACTTTGTAGCTGAGGATTTTTTATATTGCGTGCAAGCCTGAAGGTTGTGACTACAGAATGTTATTATGCTTATTTGTATATATTACAATGAGACCTAAAAATGAAGCAGATGATGTGGAAAATGTTGGCGTTTTTTCTTACCACAAACATTTGAGAGTCAGAAAGTAAATAATGGATTTTGTAATCTTTTCAGCTTATATAAGTAAAAAAATTAATTATTTCCAAATGCTTGCTACTGTATCTGGCATTACTCACCAGCACTTCTGCCAGCAATGGGTTTGGAATTTGATTCACAAAGAGAATGGAAGGAACTGCTTAATTCAGAAAAAAAAAAAAAAAAAGACGGATTCAGGCTAGAATGTTCAAATTTGGATCTCTTAAGGATCCAGCATATACCTAGCATACCTAAATAAAAAGTTCAGGGGTGTTGAACAGTAGCGATTCTGAAGGAAATCAGCGGGATATGGGAGTATTCAATAGCTTGACAAAGGCAGGCCTTTGGCCATTAGCTTTTTGGTTGCCCTTTTCAAGGGCTGTTTTCTGGTATCAGAAGTCTTTTTCTTTATAGTGGAGGGTGTTTCTGTTGAAAGAAACTTAAGAGGCGAATTCAGTCAGGGAATGGAAATGGGCACTCCCAGAGGCGTGGGATTTGTATGCTTAATTTCCCACAAACAGTTCTTTAAAAGATACTTTAAGCCAAGCCACATTTCAGCAATGAGCATAGATCAGTGATGGGCAGCCAACAAATGGTTCAGATAAGAAGCCGAAAGTTCAAATGCTTAAAGAAGGATTGTTCAGACCTCTCAAGTCTGCAAAACTGTGGTGGAAATCTCACAAGAACAGACTTTCTTTGTGAGATTTATTACATGTCTGCTTCAAGTCCCAGCTGGAAATACCATGGAACAGTCTTTCCCATTGTATTTTGGTATTTCAGCTGTGGCTAGAAATAAGAGGTAAAAGAACTTACAATTTTTGAAAACTGTGGAACTTTAAAATGGTTCTGTTTGAGCTTGATTACAGCTGTAAGAGAAGGCCTAGTCTGTACTTTCCTGAACTCATTTTGCAAATACTTAATGTGTACTGATGCACATGCAACAAACAGATTTCCAGAAGCCTGTCAGAGGTTGGTTAGGCACATACATACTTTATGTTTCAGCAAGGGTTATATCAAAGTTATACGTCTGGATCTGTGTGCTACATGGGGCGTTTCAGTATAGATTTGGATAATCAGTGAAGCATTAGGGAAAAACAATATAGTAACATTGAAATTGTGACTGTCTTTACTGCCACCAGATGTTAAATTTCAGGACTTCGTAACTGTGATCTATAATAGCATGTGTTTTCAAACCCATTGACAGTGTTTCCATTGTTGTCGTGTTTACAGTATGTTGTCTTTTCAAAGGTTTGTGATAGCTAAAATACTGAACAAGGAAAATGGATTTAGAGCTAAACATAATTTTAATAAACTGTTGCATAGTTTTAATCGACGGAAAATCAATTCAATGCCTTTAATTTTCATTAATAGTTTATGTGATTCTGAATGAGCAGCTACTATAATTAAAATATTCTAAATGTAACTTTTACAATACAATGTATGTACATTGAAAAGCTGCAGAGCCGAGTTGTGTGTAGTTCTGTCTCCTTCCCAGGGTGCACTGTATATAGCTTTTCTCCATAAATTACACTTAGCTGTCTTCCTGCCATGTTCTCCTGTCTTATTTTCCCACAACACATATTTATGTGCTTTATAGCCCACTTGTTTCCCCACATGGCACTGACCTTCTTGGATTCCATTTCTGCATAGACTGATTCCTGATACATGTAGTTAATCTTAAGTGAATGAAAAAAACTTCTGTGTTCCTGAAAACAATAATTTTTTTGGATTTGAGTTATTTTGATAGACAGGTATCAAGAGTGCAGTGTTACACAGTATCTTATATATGCAAAGCTTATGACTTGTGTGGCTGCCATGGGCATACTGTTGTATTTACAGTGGAACACGTAACATACCTGGTGAAGGAACACGTAACATACCTGGTGAAGGAAAGTGATTCGTCCTTTAGAAGCAAACCTTATTGTCTGAAGATGGTATGAAAAAAACCAGAAATGTTTACTCATTTTGGTGGGAAAGAAAAGAGTACAGGTTAAAGTCTCCAGCAGCAAGACTCATCTCACTTTGTATCTGCCTGTTTTTCACTTATATCTTCTGTATGAATGACAGATAATTAACTCAAGTGTCACGGGCTTTGTCCTCTACGTGATCTTTAACTCTTTGCCTGTAGGCAGTCTAGGCAAACCTTCATAATTTTTTTACATGAGTTTGGGCGAAGATGGCTTTGTGTCTCATAATTCTCCTAAGAGGTCATACTGTGGTAAAACTGCAATGTTCCACCAAACTGCATCCATTAATCAGTACAGATCAACGTGTAAGGCTGGTGAACCTTACTGAACTTAGAAGCAAAACTGGATTGGTGGGAGCAGATGAGATGCCTGCAAACATTTCACATGACTGATTCTTTTGCAGCTGTAATTGCGGGAAAGTGAACTTCTCCTGTGGGTCAGAAGCAGGGAACCTGCTTTCTCCTGATTTACAGCAACGCAAAACTCACCAAAGTTTCCTTCCAACTACCTGGAGCATTCCCCTATTGCATTGTTGTTTATTCCTCATTGTCATGTCCTTTGTTCATTTGTTTCTCATTTACATTGAGAGCGTACCTAGAAAAGAAGACAAAATACAAAAGCTTCTTACATGTTAATGAGATTCTGAGGCCAAAATAAAATCTAGAGAAGAAAGAAAAGAAGTGTTGCATATCAGGGAACAAATCAAAGCAGATCAGAAACATGTTGCTCTGGATCTCACACTTCACTAGAAGGTGTAACAGTAATGCTTTCATAGCAGCTTACAACGGAGAATTTTGATGTGCTTCATAAAAATCAATGCTTTATTCGTCACAATCCTAAAAGATTGCCTAACAGGTACACTGGGTTTATTGACTAATCAAAAGGTGTGGAACCACCAGTGAGTACTGTAGCTCACACTCTTCTTTCACTGTTTTTTCCTTAAATCTGGATGTCTCTAATAAAATCTCCTGAATCCTGGGGGCGGGGGGAGGCAGAGACCACCATGGAGATGCAGGAGTTTGTGGAAGTGTTTTTCTAATTTTCATTGCCATTGTTTCTCTGCTTGCTTTCAGTTTGAAGTGAAACCAAGATAAAATATCTCTCTCCCACTGATTTTGTTTTGTGGAAACCGTACGGAAGTAGGAGTTTTACATTCTTTATGTGCAAATATGTAAGTCATTTCATGATTTGCACTGAAACACAGAGCTAGAATAGTTTTGAAGGACACGTTGATAGAAGGATGGTCAAGTCCTACAGAAGCTTTTTTTCCCCTCTCCAGCTCATCTCTTTTTGGCACAACTCAGTTGTTCTGGGCTTTCTAAACAGCATGTAACTAGCAGAAGAAAATTGGTTTGTTCATAGGCAGATTAGAGTGTTCTGGAGAATACACAGTGCTGTCATA